TTCAACCGATCAATTATAGGCACAAAGTGGGTAGTTTTTTATTGTTGCAAACTTCCATCCCATTGAATAACATGTGGTAATTAACTGAAAAGAAAAAATAAAAAATCTTAACTCAACAATACAACATGCATAAAACTTTCAAAAAGGCTTGTAGCGGGAATCACCAATCGTTATATCCTACACCACGGCGCACATAGCACTGTGCGCCGCGCGCCTCCCAAAACGACGTCGTTTTGGGGTAGTGTTGGGAGGCGCGGTAGGAAGTTGCTAAGATTATGTGTATTTGTTCACAACGTTATGTGTATTTGTTCACAACGTTATGTGTATTGGTTCATACAGTTATGTGTATTTTTTATACAATTATGTACATTCTTTTTATACAATTATGTACATCCGAATCAGAAAATTTGTGTGTATTATGTTAAGAGTTGATGTGTACTATGTTAAAACTTTATGTTTATTATGTATTATGTTAGATTATGTGTATTATCTTTTAAAAAGAGTATGTATATTTTGTTATATAATTATGTACATTCATGTATAACATTATGTGTATTCTAGTATAACATTATGTACATTCTTGAACAGCGGGTTTTTTTTTTTAAAGAAAAAACTACTGCCATTCACTGGGGCGGGAAATTTCAAAAAAAAAAAAAATAATTAAAACGACGTCGTTTTGCATCTGGGCACATAGTGCAACGTGCGCCGTGGTGTAGGATATAAATTGCCGGGAATCACGAGGCTGAGATGCGAGAATTTGGATTTCAATTTGAGTATTTATAGAATAGGTAGATTGGGCTAATAAAGTTGGACTTTGACAGTTCGGTTAATGGGCTCATGAAAATCAGGTTTATTATTTAAATGGCAAATTATAGTGTGGATCGCGGTCCACAATACATTGTGGTCCAAGCATCAAAATAATGTCGTTTCTTTTAATGAAAAGAAACGACACTTATTCCGCGTCGTCCGTAAAAAGTAATTTTGATTGTATAATATATTAAGTTTTATTTTGTATACATTGCAGTTTCATTTCGATATAACTACAGTTTCATTCGATATTATACACTCAAATATGTGAAACTGTTATTCAGTTTCATTTTATATACACTATAGTTTCATTACAACACAACGACACTATCATTTTGATATAACTACAGTTTTATTGCACAATATACACTCAAATATGTGAAATGTTATTCAGTTTCATTTTATATACACATCGGTTTCTTTTCAACACAACTACAATATCATTTTGATATAACTATAGTTTCGCTGGACAATATACACTCAAATATGTGAAATTGTTATTCAGTTTTATTTGAACACAAGTACAGTTTCATTTCAATTCAATTGCAGTTTCATTTGATAATATAAAAAATAATACGTGAGGCAGTGTCAGTTTAGATACACTGTAGTTTCATTTGGTAATTAGCACACCAAAAATACGCGCTCCATTAAGATGTAACGGTTGCCGTTTCTTTACTTAAAAAATGTTGCCGTTTTTGGACCATGATCCACAGTATAATTGCTGTATTTAAATGGTATTGGCCTAGGACTTTATGATAATTATAAAATGATTTAAGTAGGCTAGTTTCTGTTAGTATTATTATTATTATTATTATGATTGTTATTATGTTATATTATATGATTACATAATGTGTGGTGTTTAGAATAGCCGATTTAGTTTATTCTATTAGTTAGGATTAGTTAGAGGTTTGTTAATAGATATACTCTGTAATCCTATTGTTGTGTTAATGATCAACAGACTTCTCTAATATGGTATCAGACAGGTTATCGGATCATTTCCCACCTCCACCGCAAAATCAACCCCCTCTCACCGTTCACCTCCACTCTGTCGACCAACTCTTTGGAGCGCACCCTGTCGGCCGCGGCCGCCGCCAACTCTCTCGCTGGTGCGCATCATTATGTCACCATGAAGCTGACATCGAAGAATTTCCTTTTCTGGCGGATGCAGCTCATTCCCTTCCTCCGAGGCCAAGAACTCCTTGGCTTCGTCGATGGTAGTCTCCCGTGTCCATCGGAGACGATCGCGGCGCCCCGTCGACTGGTGACTCCTCGACGAGCACCACGGTGGCAGCACCGACCCCGAATCCGGCGTATCATGCCTGGGTAAAGCAGGATCAGACGATCCTATCTCTGTTGATCTCTTCCATGTTGGACGAGGTCATTCATCTAGCTCTCGGACGGAACACCTTCGCAGACATCTGGGCATCCGTCACCAGTGCACTCGGCTCCACCAGTCAGGCACGATGCCTGAACCTTTTAGGACAGTTTCAGATGCTGCGTCAAGGGAATTCTACCACGGCGGATTACTTGGGGCGGCGAGCCGGTGTGCTCGTTGAGTCTCTTATCCAGGCCGGCCGACCACTATCGTTGATGGAGCAGAACATATATGTCATTCGCGGGCTCCGGCTGGAACTCAAATCCTTGGCAACTTTCCTCACGGCGTCGGGCACACCGGTCACCCTCTCTAACCTTTCCGACTTTCTGCAGGCACACGAGTTTATACTCGTGGATGATTATCCGGCGGTTGATGGAGGTGCTTCCCATACGCCGGTTCTGGTCGTGGAACGACATCCCGGAAAATGAAATTCCACCTTCTTCACACCTTCTTTCCATCCCACGTATATATACTACGATTATCAAGAAACATCCCACGTATACTACGATTATCAGGAGGTTTGACCCCAATTTGAGTACCACTCCGCAATCTCTCGTGGAGTTAATGTGGGACCGTATCACTGCAACATTGATGAGAATAGTAATAATTGCAAAGAGTTTTATTATTACTAATCAATTGTGTTTACAAAGTACTTACAGGAAGGAAGTGATATATTTATAGAGATATAAGGACTAAGTACGTCCTAACAAGGACATGACCGGTAAATGTAGAGTTACAATAGTACACCAAAAAGATGTAGGAATTTTAAAACTTATAAAACACAGAGTACTAATAACATTTCCATTATTATGTGTATTCAAGAATCTTTGAGCTTTTTCCCAGTTTCCTTCTACTGAAGCTCTGTATCTACGTCTGTGGGACGATCACTGATGCGTCCAATCCACTAAAACAGAAATCCAATGTACAAAGGTGAAGAAATAATCTCACCCAAGTGCCCCACACAAGATACCCAATCTACAGAGGAATAGTGGATTGTTGAAGATGGAGACCCATGCATGCAGAAGCCCAATGAAATCCCTTCAATGGAGAGCTAACTCTGATGCAGCTCACTTCAATGACGCTTCTTTCCGCTGATCCACAGCTGAGTGATCTTCGCGTCCACTGTTTAAGTGCATTTGGATCTTCTCAAGTTCATCTTTGTAATCACCATAAACATTAGTCTTGAGAAGATGTAGAAAACGAGAGAGTTAACTTTTTGGAACTATGGGAGAGTTTGTTTTGAGATTCAAGATAGTGTGTATGTGCCTATCTTCTTTCTTGAATCCGCTCCCAAAATATATACTCTGGTTGATAAGGGATGGGAGTGGGACACGTAATCAGTAATTCAAACAACACCTTAGTACGATTACGTCCATACCCTTTGAGGTGTCCAGTTGATTAAAGACTTTCTTGTAAAACACCTCTTGGCGTAACTGTTTCTGCCAGCTCATATGCGTCTTCATTAAATAAACTTCAACGACATAATTCTAAGACGCTCTGTCACTTTTGTAGTAACTGATCAATCAGTTCTTCAGTCTTCAAATTCTGACAAACACTCAACTATAACCTATCTAATTTGCCATAATAATTTTGCTAATTATAAGTTGGGGTTTTTTTAGACTCAAAACACTAACAATTGCGAAGCACCTTGTGCTCAAATGCCATATGGTAACTCTCCCTTATGGGAGTCATGAGATCGAGCCTCAGTGGAGGCGAGTTAGTAGTACTCAAATTAGAATATGACATTAATTATTGGAACTGCTGCCGGAAAGATTCGCTACTTCCGTAAATTAATTTGCGAACCCAAAATGTTTATAGAGTCATTCATGTAAGATTTTCCCTAATAATATATATTGTATATTATATATTAGGACCTTAATTAAGTGGTGCAAGTTGAGTAAGCTTATTAAGTGGTCTGGTTGGACTTAATAACTAGTAGTTGTTAGTCAACCAAACTCTGTGCCTAATATAATCCTGGATTGATGGGATACAGGATGATGATGTTAGCACATTCAGTTACGGTACTCAGACTGCTCAGTAGATACTAATACACCATCTAGGGTTCTGAGTCAGGTCTGAGGTAAAACATGGCTAATGGTCTACCGTTAAGAGGCAACACAACAGGAACATCAACTATGACTGGGGATCTACATGGCTACGCTTCCGCTATCATACGAGGTCAGGTTTCTCGTATACTATTGTTCAGTATTAGTTAGATTTTTATGTATCTAACATTTGGTATCAGAGCCTTTATAATCTATGCCTGGTTGATTGTATTGCCTATGATCAACATTAATTTGTTTCGTATACATTAAGTTTTGTATATACTTTGTTTTTCAAATACATTCATTTTAATTCATCAAAATATGCATAGAAAATATATCTTTTTGATATAATTTATGTATATTTTGAATGTATTATTTGTAATTGGTTTAAGACGGCCAAAAATTAATTTTAGTTGATTTTGAATCATTGATTCAATTTCAACATTAAGAGCGATTTTAATTTTTGGAAATTTATGCTTGGAATTGTTTGTTTACTGTTTTGGATTTGCCGGAGAATCTTCGGTTGTACGATGTCCATCGAGGGGTGAAGTAACGGTAACAACAAGATAGATGGACTTCAGTTTTCTGCCTGTTTTCTCCCTTCTGCCGAATTTAGTTTTCTGGCATAAATCGCCGAACCATGTACGCTGGTACTATGGACTCCGGCGTACGTGTCGACGACGACGGGCGTTGGGTGGTGGTGTCCGCGGGTTGAAGTTGCCGGCGACGGTTTCCAGGTGGCGTTAGTGACTGAGGACGGCGGCGGCAGGACACTAGGCGTTGCAGCAAGGCGAGATGGCGGAGCCGTGCTGGGTTTTCCGGCGAACAGTTGACTTCTCCCTCCCCTCCTTCAGCGGCGCCATTGTGACTCCTGTCTCCATTCTTCCTCCGTCCGGCTGCACTGGTTGCTTCTTTAGTTCATCGCCGAGTTTTCCGTGTGAGGAGCCGGCCTGCTGTTGCTGGCTGGCTGTTGCTTCTTCATTCTTCTCCCGTCGGCGCTGCAGGAGGTAAGTCTTCTGGTTGTTTAATCAACATGGGTTATGAGGGTTGGGCCGGGTCAGGCCCATTGGGGCAGACCTGGTCCAATACTAAAAAAAATAAAAAATTCTGGGCCTACTTTAGTTATTGGGCTTGCTTTAGTGTTTTCCATCATCATATTTAGACTTCTTCTAGCTTAATTGTTCAATTTAATTCCTCATTAATTTATTATTAAATTATCATTCAATTTTAGGCAAATATTAAGTTTTAAATTTGCTGTTTGAATTTTAATTTAATTTTGAGGTTTATTTTAAATTGCCTCAAGTAGTCAAGTGTTGCAATTTATTAAGAATTTATGAGTTAATAATATATTTCCAAGCATGCTACGTATATTCATAAATTATTATTATAATTATACATCTATAATAGCATGCATTAAAGTTGGATTTAGCATATTATTAACTCATAAATTCATTATTAAAATATCACTCAATTTTGGATCCTTAGGTCAATTTGAACCATTATGGCCTATTAAGGTAGCTTGTTTTGGTTTCCCCTTAATTTTGAGCTCATTTTAGTTTTATGTGTCTCTGGGACTTTACAACCTATTTTGAACAAGCTATTTGGGACCTATCTTGGGTCATTAAAGTATGGATCCCACCATTTTGATTGATATTTTAATAATAATTATAACTCCTTGTAACATGTTTATTAAGTTTTAATTATTACTAACTACCATATTTTGGTATTCATCGTTGGTAATAATATTAAGTTTTGAGCCTACTTCAGTATTAGACCATTTTCTATCCATGTTATAACTGACTTGGGCCATTGAGGTTTATGAGCCTAATTTGAGTGATTAAGTGTTATAATTATTGTCTTGGCCTGTTAGAGACATTAAGGATTTAATTGTTATTTTGGCCATTAAGAACTGTAAATATTGTTTAAGTTGATTAAATTTTTAATCTATCAATAGCTTTTCAGGGCCTTAATAATAATATTAAGTCTTTAATTTTAGGGCAAAAGCAATATAGTTGGTATATTGTCTGTATAATGGTAATTTGGTTATTACCTAACTTCAGTTTCCCTAAGTATCATACTAGTCATGATTAATTATTATGTGGTAAAATTGAGATTAGTATTTGGCATCTCTTAATTACAGTTTTGCCGATTATTAAGTTAAATTCGGCATTATTAATTACTGTTATTAAGTTTAGGGGCTAATCCCGTTTATTACCTCTTCATAATAATTATTTCATGGTAATCTGCTATATTTGGTACATTGGCATGATTACCACTTCATTTTACATGACTATTAATGTTGGCAATTAAGTCCTACCAATAAATTTTTTAACGTACCATTGGACGCTGCATTGAGATTACTGACACCGACAGTGAAGATGGGAGAATTCTGGATTGTTGTTAACGCAATGGGGAGATGCGGTTTGCATCATTAAGGTATCTTTTATAGTTATTATTGATAATTAGTGCTACAGTTACAGTTAACCGCTAATTTGGACTAGTCACATATTTTATTTTTAGAGAAATGGAAACATTTAAAGGTGCATTACCATACTTTAGTTTGTCATTATTATTAATGTTAATAGTGATTATAATGTTATTTATTGCTATTAATAATTAATTAGTGATAATATTGATATTATTATGGTATTCAGCTACGTGCCTTGAACTGTTTTCTAAATAAATGTGACAATATTCCAGTTAAGAAAATAGTTTTCTTGACATTAATGTTTTTCGGACTTCAAATTTTATTAAGCTTTCAAAATTTTATCTGAAAACGTTTATAAATGTTAGCGGTTTAAACTATTGTTTTTCCATATTTAGTCTCCTACATAATGTGATAATATTATTATGGCTATTTATTGCTATTTTGGTTATTTGCAATTTTGTCATTAATAATAATATTATTATTAATTGGGTTATGGAGAGTGATTTTGAATCAATTTAGTAATTTTGGAAAAACATATTTTCTAGGCAATTTTCTTTTGCCATTAATTTCGTAATTCATTTAGTTCTTGAAATTATGATTTTAGTTCTGATTGCCTATGTTTGGTTAAGTATGAATAAATGAATATTTTGTTTAAATTCATATCCTTTAGTTGGTTCATGCTCTTTAGATTGTTTTATGCATTCGATCATATTAAGTACATAATATGAAGTTTAATTATGTAATTAGGGTTTATGAGATTTTAATTTACAAATGCTAGCATATCCTTTTGGTTTGATATTGTTTGAATTTGTAAGTTCAGTTATTTCTCATAAATTTGATCTTTATGCATTAAAACATTTTCTCATGGGCTTACAGTTTAAAAAAATTTTAAAGTATATATTCAGTACATTATTATTCAAAATGTTGGGTTTTTTTTGGTTTGGACTCATTGGTGTTTGAATATTAAGTTTATACTTTGAAATCTCATATTGTAAATTTGTCTAAAGTTATGCAATTTATTTGGAATATATGAGTTTAATGTTTAATTTTATGCATGTTTGTCCTAAGCATAATATTCTGTTTTAAATTATGCAATTTTATTATGTCTTTAGCAATGCATACTTTGAGATGGAATTATATTAGTTCCTATTTAAGTTGGACTTATGCATAAACTTTAGTCGCGGTAGTGCCTGAATTTAAGCACGTTTAGTCCGCTATTTTTAGTTCACCATTTAAGCTTTAATCATAGGTGAACCATACAGTTTACTGGTGTATACCCTACAATTTTAGGTTCATACCCCCCAAACAGTTATACATTAAGTATATATGAATCGGGGAGACATACTAGTTTTAATGGCCATGAATTAAGAACATCTTGTGCCACTAGTCTCCTTAAATTGATACTCTATTTAAGGAATTGGTTTTCAGTGAGACTTAGTCTCTAACCACCTTTCCTTGGAGTATATTTAGATTTTCTCATCACAATCTGGTATAATCTGTTTGTCAAAATTTTAAGTATTCCTTGCCAATGTGATTTGATTTCGGTTCATTAAAGAATAGCCAAAGCATCTTTAATTTACTGAAATATCTTGAGTTTTCAATCTTGGTTAATTAAGGAAATGCTACAGCATATTCAGCTACCTAAGATTATTAAGTTTTAATCACATAAAGTTTAGGCAAGAATTTGATAATTGTCTAGTGATCTTATAATTTTAATTTGGTTTGGGAGTAGCCACAGCATCCTTAATCTGTTAAAGATTATATATTAAGTGGTTTATTTTGATCACATAAAGTTTTAGACATATCATTTGTGATTAATTGTATGTAATATGATGAAATTTAGCCCACAGGCAATTTCGTTATATTTGTATAATTAATCAGGATGAAATACTGGACTACGGTCATAATTTAGCCCACAGGCAATTATGTATCGAAATATAGTTTAGTAGTTTTATCAGTGACGGTAGAAATAAATCAATTTATTTACTTTATGGTTATTTGTAAATAATTTTCAATTCTATCATGAAGTTTAATTTTATGATGTAAACTTTAGATCATATTTCTTAATTTGCCCACATGGATTAAGAAAAGGAACATGATTTCTTAAGTTTTATCATAATGGTTGTAGTGAATCTTATTGAATAAAACTTTAGCCTACAGGCAAGTTTTATGTCATTTGATTCTTCAACTCATTTGATAATGGTTTCATCATAAATAAATTTTTCAGTTGGATCTAATTGAGTAAAACTTTAGCCCACAGGCAAGTTTTATGTCACTAGATTTTTCTGGCTCTTTAGTAATTGTGAAAAATATTATCATAAGAGTTTCTTAATTGGATTTAATAGAATTAAAACTTTAGCCCATAGGCAAGTTTTATGTCAATAAATCCCTCAACCCATTAGATAATAATTTTATCATAATTCTTAGAAATTATAAATTTAGTTTAATTATAATTCTAAGTTTCATGATTTGCATTGGCAAAACATGTTTTTCAGTCACTTCCCAAAATTTAGTCACTTCTATTAATTAATCTACGAATCTTGCTCGGTTCTTCGGACTAATTGTAGTAAGTTACGTGATTTGACATACCTCTTGGATTCCAATAATGTTAAAATGTATCTTTTGAGCCAAATTCTACCTTGGTTTTGAAAGATGTATTTTGTATTTTTTTTAGTATGTCCAACTATGATGGGGAATTATATCTTCATTATTTAGTTGGACTTTAATTGGAACCAAAAATTGATTATTTAATATTTAGTATGTCCAACTAATGGTGGGGAATTATGTCTTCATTTGTTAGTTGGTCAATAAATCAATTATGAATATGTATATTATTAAGTTCATTTTATTAATTTCGCTGAAGATTGTTTTAACCAGTGGGAGTGATCATTTAAAAAAAAGATCATTAAGATACTCCACTAAAGATTATGGATTTAATTATTGTATTCATACATTCCAAATTGGGTTGTATGTTAAACAATAAGTCCAAAATATTCCACAAGTATTAATCTTGTATTTGTTTATATAAATTCATAAGTTCAAATTATTGAACATTTGGTTGTACAACATATTTATGAAAATGTTGTAACAATATTAAAGAATTTATTAGAACAAAAGCATTTAACTTGTGGTGCACTGTCATTTAATAAATTCTTCAGTGATTAATAGAGTCTTTAGTTTCTTCAAAATTGATCCTGGACCATTTCGGTTGTAAGGCTCAAATCAATTTTGTGGGACGTGTAAGTAAGACTCATTATGTTCAGTTCATTTAAAATGGACATTGAAGTTATTTGGGAAGTTATGATGTATGATTAAGATTCCAAATTTATGGATTTAGACCTTTGGTTTATTGTCTAAGTTTTTGGAATGCTTCTGTGACTTGACTATCTTTTGGCTATTTTTGATGAGTGGGAGTAACAGACGTGTTAGCTCCAAGCTCTTAGCTGTTAGAGATAGTACTTAAAGTTAACTTATAAAGAAGTCATAGAATACGGTTAGCATTATGCTAACATTAAGAGATCTCTACTTAAGGCATGCTTATAAAGTTTTAGAGATCATACAGTGTACTATTTTGTACAATTCGGATGTGTTTTCTCCTTCAGTTGTGCACATAATGTATTTTGAGAAACATCCTTAAGGTACCGAGAATAAACATAGGGTTTGTTCATTAAGGACCTAAGTTGGAGAATTAAAATGCATGTGACCATAATAGATACTACTCTAATTAAATAGAGGAAATGTCACTATGATTCGCGTGTTTTGTTCTTTGATGAAGGTTGTGCTAGTACTTGCACCAAGTGGGAGAATGTAAGATTTTCCCTAATAATATATATTGTATATTATATATTAGGGCCTTAATTAAGTGGTGCAAGTTGACTAGGCTTATTAAGTGGTCTGGTTGGACTTAATAACTAGTAGTTGTTAGTCAACCAAACTCTGTGCCTAATATAATCCTGGATTGATGGGATACAGGATGATGATGTTAGCACATTCAGTTACGGTACTCAGACTGCTCAGTAGATACCAATACACCATCTAGGGTTCTGAGTCAGGTCTGAGGTAAAACAAGCAACACAACAGGAACATCAACTATGACTGGGGATCTACATGGCTACGCTTCCGCTATCATACAAGGTCAGGTTTCTCGTATACTATGATTTATTATAGTTAGACTATTTTAAATCTAACAATTCACACTACTAACATAGCCACAGTAAAATTAAATGATTGAGATGTGCTAAATTGAACATAGAACATAATTTACAGTAACAATTGTACCATAAATTTATTATTAGCTCCTACCTTAAACTACAAAATTTTCTATAAATCAAACTTATTATATTATTACAAACTCCATTTCAATACAAACAACAATACAACAGAAAAATAAAGTAAACTACCCTTTAACTTTCCAAAAAAGCTAGCTAACTAGTTGCATGTAGCAAGTCAAAATAAGTTGTGGGTATCAGTGCGGCCAACATTTAGTTTCTTTAAAATGGTCTGTCCATAGGTAGACCATATGAAAGCTAAGAAGAGTCGGAATTGAAGGATCACAAATGCAGCGACCACCACACCTGCAGATACCATCAAAAGAACACGAACCGATAGAACAGTCTTACCAAACACCATATAAACTGTGGTAGAAAAGGAGCCCATCATAAAGATAACCGAAGCCAGCAAAGTGATGATGCCCGCGATTAGCTTCAAGGGAAGACGGTGCAGGAAATCTTCTTCGGCATAGCGCGAAGTTAGGATGGACAAGAAGAGCAAGAGAGAAGGAACGGCCGTAAAGAGAGAGACACTATTGAAGACATAAAAGCTTCTGAAAGCATCCTTTCTGGAGAAGATGGGGAGGCCCTCATCGGGGGTTTTTTCAATGGAATCTATAATTGTGCCATTACTTGAAGCATTATTATTGTTATTATTCACGGTAGCAATTGTACCGCTAAAGCCACTGCCATTGTTGAGCCGTGGAACTGTAATTGTAGCGTTAAAGCCACCATCACTGTTGCCGCCGGGGACTGTAATAGCAGCGGCAAACACCACAGTAACAATCAGCGCTGCTACAATGGAGCATGCAGTTGCTGTTTCCTTCATCCATTTCTCTCCTTCCTTTTTCAGGTCCTTATGCTCATCCGTGAACACCATCTTTGGTGTTTTCTCATCTTTATTTCTCAGTGATGAGAAATATGGTGGTGCAGTCTTTTTCACTCCCTACACAAATCAATCAATCACATTAATTAAGTTAAAATAACAACAGATCGGAAAATATGAAAAGACAAAAATACCCTTTCAAAAAATAAGAAAAAGAAACTCTGGCAGAATTAACTATATATATGTAGTAGAATTCAGGTGCGGTCGTGTCTTCCCGAGCGGTCCGTGCAACCGCACCAATAGTTATGTAAATATGCACTAACAATGTTATGAAATGCACAAATTAGATATACATTACCAAAAACACACCATTAGGTATGAATAAAAGCACCACACAGTGTTCAAAAATGCACAACTAGGTGTGGAGAGTTATTGTGCATTATTTTGAGTGTGTTGTGCGTTTTTGGGTGTATTTGTTGCATTTCATTGTTGTTCATTTTCTTAACACTATTGGTATCTTTTGTTAACACTATTGGTGCATTTTTCAAGCGACCGCATGAGAAGTCGCAGCTGCATTTAAACTTTTGTCCACACACACACACACACACACACACACACACACACACACACACACACACACACACACACACACACACACACACATATATATATATATATATATATATATATATATATATATATATATATATATATATATATATATATATAAAGAAAAGTTTGGTACAATCACGACTGGAAATTATGGAATTCCGACCACCAGAAAGTAATCTTAAATTAAGTCAAAGCCTTGTTCCGACCACTTTTGGTATCCGAAAAAATCTTTATTGCTATTTCCGATCACTTTTTGCTTTCAACTTGATTTAAGATCACTTTTAGGTGGTCGGAAATTCCATAATTTCCAACAGCGAATTAAGTTAACTAGGCTTATTAAGTAGTTTGGTTGCGGGAGTTGCTTGGTTTGAGCAAAATTAAAATTGTACGTACACAGCTACGTACCTTAAACCATCGCATCTCCCGCTGCATTTGTAGAGCTGCCCCAGAAACGATGCCGCGGTTCGAGTTGAGTTTGTGTGAAGGTGCCAATTTCCCAGCCAAATGCACAATGGTGTTTCCATTGTTGTCTTTTTCATCCACTAAATCATGCTTAAGCACATTGGTTCCACAAATAAGGTTATAAACGTTTATGCTGCGATTCTCTACTGCAATGTGAAGTATATTTCGCCCATTTTTGTCTTTGTAATAAGCCGTGGCAGGATATGCTTCCACAATGTTTTCAACCACCTCTTCAATGTCCAAGTATGCTGCTTGAATTATTGCTTCTTTTGCGAGTGAGGCAACTTGTGTGCCATTTAGGGTTTTGAGTTTATCGCACAAGCATTTTACAAGCTTCACTGCTTCTTCGTGCTTCAACATTTTTTCCTTTATACTTTTCTTCGACAACAACGCTGAAAAACATATATACGAACATTAATTGAATTAAATGAATGAGTTAATGACTTGTGGTCTATTGACATGAAGTAACTCGAGCATTAAGAGCTATAATTGACTTTTTTGTGCTTAGTAAGTTGAAAAAGTAATTATGAATAAATATTATGAAATACTCACCATGTTTTATTGAAGTTTGCCAAAAACTTAGACTAGTTTTGTTGAAGATAGGATAATCGTATTTGACTATGGCCTCCAAAGGAGATGTTTCCTTGTCTAGTGTCCGATGACAAGTCAAAGCAGGGTATTTATCAGCCAACTCCTTTGCCACCACTGAAATTAAAATTAAATATTCATTTTTAATATACTGAAAATTCATTTTTAGATAGTGTACTAAATAATTAATGAACCTTCAAAACATAAAAATATGATCATGTTTTTGTGTGTACTGCCCTCCTACAATTAACAAAATATATTGTGGACCATGTATAAATATTCATTTTTAATATACTGAAGATTCATTTTTAATGTACCAAAAATTCATTTTTAGATTGTGTTCTGGGTCTTTCTCCCCTGTTTGTCTTACGGTCCGGGTCCACCCGACAAATCTTCATTCGCTCTGAGAGGCATGAAAACTAGGTTATCCCTAAGTAGGATCGTCGTCACAAAGAAGCTCTTTTGCCACTTAAGCTACCCTTTTATGTTATAAATATATGATCATTCAATGTATTAAAATCAACTACCATCGTGTCTTATGCTCTATCCTATCCAAAAGAGGTGTCTACAATTCAGCGAGTGAATTAGTCACTGTGTCTGACGGTGAAAACCCTGGGTACACCCAAAAAAATAAAAAATCATGTCCCATGCAAGGTCTATATGCTATAATGATTGCCTACAATCACGGCTGGACATTATGGAATTTCCGACCACCTGAAAATGATCTTAAATCAAGTCGAAAGCCTTGTTCCGATCACTTTTAGTATTCGGAAAACCTTTATTTCTATTTCCGACCACTTTTTAAATTTAAGATCACTTTCGATCAGCTGATCGGAAATTCCATAATTTCCAGTACCAATTGTGATCCCTGGAGTGCTGTGGTTAGAGTGCTATATGAAATAATGCTTAAATTAATTGGCATACCATAGAATTTAGACTTGATTAAGTTAACAAGGATGGTGGCACCAGTTGGGCCTGCATATGGATTAACTTCCGTATCTTCATCGTCCTTAGTGACACCCCAGAAATAGCGAAACACCTCCAGGCTTCTCCGAGTATTGCAAGCTGCGTAATGGATGGGGAGAAGACCGCTGTTGCACCTTTGATAGAGGAGATTAGGGTTCTTCCCAACAAGGATTTCAGCCACCTCCCTGTTCCCAAACCGGGCGGCGAGGTGGAGCGCCGTCATCCCATCTCGGTTCTTCACCACGCCAAGCTCTTTATTATCATCTCCCATGGCGGCCATCATTGCCACAAGCTTTTCCACAAAAACCTTATTACCTGTTTTAGCAGCATCATGCAATGCAGTGTTTTTCTGGGAGTTGATAGGAGCTATGAGGATTGCACGGTTATTGTTATCCTCCAAGAATTTTTGAGCTTCCCCCCATTTCCCATGCACTGTGGCTTGGTACAGTGTCAAGCATTTGCTGAAATCTTCTTCACCCACATCCTTACCTGCTTCAATATCTTCAACTGCACACCATATATAGCTATCAGAATACATACTGGGGTGTTTGGTAAATAGCTGTTAATTAGCTGATTGGGTTAGTGACTTTGAATAGTTGATAGTATTAGTTGATTGTAGAAAAATGTTTGGTAGATTAGCTGTTAGCTACCAGCTGATTACATGCAAAATGACTTTTAAAAAGCGGGTCAAAAAGACTACTTTTATGAGTTTTTTGAATTAACATTTTGGAGCAATATGTTATTTCAAAAAGCTAATTAATCAAACAGATCGTTTAACCAAATCAAACAGCTAATAGTGATCAAATAAGCCAAAATTGACTGATAAGCTAATTATGTTACCAAACCGGAACACGGTATGTCAGGGAAATAAAACTGATAATGTGAAAATAAAAAAACATTGTCGTCGTGTCATAGAATAATCACTGCTATAGAAGTGGATTTGCATGCAGGTTCACAACAACGACCTTGCCCCCGAAGTTAATACAACAATATCTCGTCTCCATTCACTCGGAGTAGGGATTGAACTTAATTACACAACTTAATTAAGAGAATAGTTGGATCATACCATTGTTATACTCCATGAACTTTTTATCTTCCTTCCATTTCCCATTCACTGTACCCCGAAGTTTGTATTTGCTGAAATCTTCTTCATCCACATAATTACCAGCTTCAAGATCATCAACTGCATGCAGACCATATATAGCCATCAAAATACATACTATTGGGGAAATAAGACTACTAATGTGTCTTCAGAGTAGAGATTGAAATTTACACAACATATGCAGTGGGAACATATCTGCAATCTGCAGATTGATAAGTATACAATGAAGCTAAGATAATAGTATCATACCATTGTTGCCTTGAGAAGCCATTGATGCAAATTCACTCCTTCTCAACTCAATGATATTGGCGGGAAATTTATATCTATAGATTGAGAGACTGATGAGGATATATATATAGATGATAGAGGTGGTCACGGCCCCACGGGTTAGTTCTGATTCAATGCATGTATTGGAGAATATAAGAAAAATGATGGCTTCCACATATACGACAGGGGGAGACTCTATATTCCTGATTATATTTATATTAATACCAAAGGTATAGCCTGTCAATGCTTACTAAAAGAAAACGTGCTGAAAGTTGCTACTTAAAAATTAGATAAGGTGAAAGGACCCAAAAAAAAAAAATAATAATAATAATAATAGAAAAATTGTTACTTGAATAGGGCAAATTCACAGCTGTGTGAATCACTGTCCAAAACGACGTCGTTTAATTTTGTGAGTTAGAATAATGTATTTTATATATTAAAATAATGTACATTATGTGAGAATAATGAAATTTCTGAGTAAGATAATGTACTTTATGAGTTAAAATAATATACATTATAAGTTATAAAAATATATGTTGCAGTGAGTCACGTAAAAAAAAAATTACACGAAACGACTTATTTAATTAGATCATGGTCCACACAATATAATAAGTATTGCTTGTAGAGTTGACCATTCAATTCAAGAACCATTGCTACTTGAGTGGACTATTCAAGCCCACAGTTCCATCACTTCTGAATAATGAAGCCCATATTTCCATTTTATATTATTGATTGCCAAAGTTGCTTTAAATAAATCCTTGTTTCACATCAAATAAGTGATGTGACAAAATATACAAGCTAAGGAAGTTTTTATATAAGTTTTTCTACACTTCTTCTTTAATTTGTATTAAATATATTATTAAAAAATAAATTATTTTAATGAAGTAAATAATGAAAAATAAAATCTCATAATAATTATTACAGAGTATATTATAAGTGTAAATATATTATTTTTTTTTTTTAAATATCCTAAACCATAGTCATTCATATTTACTCGAAATTAAAATCTTGATCTATATTTTAAATTTTGGTTTGAAGAATCTGTATAACGTACAACCTTATTGTTCGTGCCCAACTAATAGTGTAATATAATAGCCTTATATATAGCCATACAAGGCCAATATCTAATAGTATATTTTTGTTTGTTTACTTTGTATTATCTAAAAATTAAGGGAGATTAGGTTGTCTTATTGGTGCAACTATGTGGAAGACGATCATGCAAGTTGCCAACCTCCCATGGGAATGATAAAACTTTTACTTTGAAGCTCGTGGACAGTTTAGTTGGTCATAAAGATAAAATTTGGGAATAATGATTTGTGATTAATTCTCACCTGTGGTAATGTGGGAGTAACCTCTGAAAGTGAGGAGGGCTCATTGTGTGCAATAGGCGGCAAAGGTTTAACATCTGTGTTCAGTTGAGTTACCATGATTTACATTCTTCCAGATGTTCTGTCGGGCTGGGGCGTGGGGTCCTTGGGGTTGGGGAAACTATTTGGGAACAAAAAATTTAACTTTTGAATTAAAAAATGGAAAGTTTCCAAATTGGAAGTTAATTAATGTATTTTTGCCACATTTTCTGAGCAACTAGGACAACTAGCACGGGTGTTAATTGCAAAATTTCCAACTAGGATTGACCAATTCAACTCAATATGTATGACCAAAATTTAATTATTTTGCTTATTTTAATTTCTAATATGATCCTAAAATACAGAATTTATCCTAACAGCATCGTATTAATTGGTTTAAGGATGCATATCCATGCATGATTACTTTAACATTCTTTTTAGTCTAGAAATTATCCAAAATATATATATATGCTAAATATAGCAAAATCATAAACATATGAATGTACCAAAACGAAAAATAGAGATAAAAAATATGTCAGCTTAAACCATTGCAACTCTTTATTTGGATAAAAAATAATAATTATATAAAAAAACATATCTAAATTAAATGTACCAATTCAAAATAAAGAGATATCTATTTTTTTTTTAATGATAAAGAAAACTTGCAACTACTACTTAAAGTTGTATAGCGGGTAAACTCCAAACCTATGTAATAGCCCACAGACCACGGTTGCACTATGAAGATTGATAAACATTATTTTAGTGTTATTTTAAATAATCATTTTATAATTAATTCACAATAATTGATTAATTTTTATCTATTTTTATTTATTATTGTTATAAGTAGTTTTTGTTAATATTGTTAATTTAATTTTGGGTTGTTTTTGTTTTTTTTTTTTTTTTTTTTTTTTTTTTTGGTGAGGAAAGAGAGGCTACGCCTCAGATTAAGAGATTCTATGAGAGCTGGCCCCTCCCGCGTCACGAACCAAGAGGGGGATGAGACCTTCCATCGCCTCTGTGAACACCCGAGTACCCCAGTCTGTAGCTTGCGCAAAGTTAGCCAAGAAATCTGTGCAGTCATTACCTTCCCTGAAAATATGGTTGAAAGAGATCCCCTCAAAATTGGGCACCAAGGCAAGACAGTCATGCAGCAAAGTACAACCACTATCGTCCATATCCATATCGCCATGTTAGAGGTCAATGATGGCTTTAGAGTCCATCTCCACCGTGACCTGACGAATCCCCTTCTCGAGACAGAGCCGTAGACCCTCCCTTAGGCCCCACAGCTCAGCCACGAAGCTATTGGCTTTACCAATTTTAGTGGTGAAACCCCAAACCAAGCCTCCCAAGTTGTCGCGCACCAGACCGCCTGCGGATGCAATGCCCGAGTTACGTTTGGCTGCTCCATCCGTGTTAAGCTTGTACCAACCTTGGGTCGGCGGGAGCCATTGAACCCAATCTGACCGTGCTTTGATCACTTCCCCTATCTTCGAAAGATCAAACAGCTCTTTAACCTGAGATTTAGTCCATTCGACAGTTGATAAGGGGCTGATCCGCTGTTGTGGAAAGACCCATGCATTTCTGTTTTTCCAAATTGCCCAAAGATTGAACAAAAAGTGGGAAGGCCAGCCGCTATTCTGATGGATGGAACAATTTCTTCTGATCCATTGTTCGACTGTCCAGTGGATAGGGAAGCCAAAATTTATTGGAGTCTCCGAGAGGCGCCACGTCGTCCGTGCTGCGCTGCAATCCCAGAGAAGGTGTCTGATGGATTCTTCTGCTAAGCTGCAACAAGAGCACAAGCTAGAGTCCGCAAAGTGTCTCCTCGCACGTTATGTGTTAGTCAACAGTCGTCCTTTGAGAATGAGCCAGAGGAAGACTTTGATTTTTTCCCAACACTTCAGCTTCTAGAGCCAAGACCAGTCCATGCTATCTTCCTCAATACCTGCAACACAAGCGTAAGTAGATTTCGTCGAGAACTTACCTGTGTCGCTATTTGTCCACCCAATGGAATCTCTCTTTCGGTCATCGAGCGGAATCGGGATCGCACGGATGTTATCAACTATGTTTTCCGGGAGAATCTCCTGTAACTTGGGAAGATCCCAGGTTCTATTCTGGAGGATGAAATCACTTACCGTGCAAGACCCGAGCTCCTTCGGGATATCGATATTCTGATCCAGGCCGATCGGCATGCTTCTAACCCACCAATCTTTCCAAAGATTTATCGAGTGCCCATCGCCAACTTTCCATACCGCATTGGAGATGACCGTTTTCCTTCCCTTGATTATGCTTTTCCAAGCCCACGAAGCATTTCCAGGTACCGTGGCGGAGAAGAAGTCACAGTTTTTGACGTACTTGTCTCTCATAACTTGTATCCAAGGTTTATCCAACTTACCACACATCTGCCAGGCGAGCTTAGCAAGAAGAGTTTCATTGAAGTGGCTTGCTTTCCGAAGACCGAGCCCACCCAAGTCACGTGGTTGGCACACTTCGTTCCAGTTAACCAAATGTATCTTTCTTTTTTCCTGCGTATCCCCCACAAGAAGTCTCTACAAATCTTATCGATACTATCGCATGTACCTTTTGGTAGAGCCAGGGCTTGCATAGTATAAACAGGGATAGTCGCCAAGGCCGATTGGGTCAAGATTCTCCTTCCCGCAAGACTAAGAGAGTCACGCTTCCAACCTGAGAGTCTCTTCTTCATCTTTTCCAGAATATACCCGAAAGTATCTTTCGTAACTCTTTTCTGCAGAATAGGGATTCCCAAGTATTTCCCCATGTTGTCAGGCACCGAGATCCCCGCAATCTCACCTAGGCGTCGCTTTACCCTATCACAGGTGTTAGGGGGACAAAAAATAATAGATTTATTAAAGCTGATAGACAAACCTGATTGGCGTGAAAACTTGTCAACCACCGAGAGAATAATTTTGAGTTGTTGTTCATAAGCTTCCCCGAAGAGGATAAGGTCGTCTGCGAAGAAAAGGTGAGAGATGTTCGAGCTCCCACGTGCCACTTTGTAGGGTTTCCAACTTCCAGAACTGACCTCCTCTTGAATTGCCCAAGAGAGGGTTTCCATAACAAGAATAAACAAATAGGGGGCCAAGGGGTCACCTTGTCTGACCCCCCTACCCACCCCAAAGGCGGGGAGCTTACCTCCGTTCCAATTAATAGATATAGTGCTTTCTTTGAGAGAGAACATGATCAGGGAAATCAACCGATTCGGGAAGTTAAACTTGCAAAGGACCGACTCAAGGAACCCCCAATCCAAGTTGTCGTAGGCCTTGTGGATATCCAATTTGAGAACCATGAAGCCCTTCTTGCCCTTGGCCTTAGACATATTGTGAACAACCTCTTGAGTCATAACAACATTATCAAGAGTAGATCTTCCCGGGAGAAAGCTGTTTTGGAACGGGCCCACCATTTTCTTCATGACTGGTCTGAGCCGGTTGACAAGGACTTTGGAGACAATCTTGAAGATCACATTAAGCAAAGTGATTGGCCTAAAATCCCCTGCATTTTCTGGGCAATCTTTTTTTGGGAATTAACGTCATGTAAGCTTCCAACATTCCAGTTGGAACGGTACCTGAAATGAGACACGAGTTAACGAAATTCGTTACCGAGTCACCAACGATATCCCAGTAATGCCGGTAGAAGGCTGCTTGGATCCCATCCGGGCCCGGGCTCCCAAACCGTTTCATGCCGAAGACAGCGTGGCGGACCTCATCCACCGTAGCATACCGGATCAAACTTTGTGCTTGCCTGCTATTGATATTACGCCCGCTCCTAAGGTTAGGAGTCTCCCTCGTTGTGTCTTGGTTCCTGTTAAAAAGGCATTTAAAATAGTTAGTGATATGGTCTTTAATGGTTTGGGGATCGGAAATCCACTCACCGTTAATTTTTAGCATGGTGACCCTCGAACGATTCCTTCTAACTAAGGTCGCCCTATGATAGAATGTAGTATTTTTGTCACCATCCTGAATCCAGTCTTTACGAGATTTTTGGTACCAGAAAACCTCCTCTTGTTTCAGGGTATTATTGAGATCATTAAGAAGAGTTTTTTCGAGCCTTAACAACCCCTTATCAGAACCGTAGTTGGGCGAAGCCTGGATCCCCGCTATTGTTGCTAGCGTGTTTTTTTTTCCTGTGAAAGATATTCCCAAAAGTTTTGTGATTCCAATCTTTAGACAACTTAACCACGTGATCAATGGCGCTTGAGATATTATTTGAGAAGGAGCTCCAGGCTTGATGCCAGATTCCTTGATAGTCATCTCTCAAGAGCCAAGCCGCCTCAAACCTCAACGGTCTCTCTTTCTTAGGTGGTGGAGTACCCGCGGCACTATCAAACTGGACAAGATAATGGTTAGAATGAGTACAAGGCAAGATGTGAGCTTTTCCTTCATGAAAGGACAGCTGTGCCTCCATATTCCAGAGAACCCGGTCTAGCTTCCTTCTGAGCGTGACCCTCTCCCCCACTTTCCTGTACCATGAGAATCTGGACCCAGAAGTCCCAAGATCCATGAGGCCTCAGTCATTCATCGCGTCCAAAAACTTATCAACTGAACTGACAACGATCTCCCCCATACCCTATTGATCTGCTTGCCCTGAGATGTCATTAAAATCACCAAGGACGACCCATGGGTCTTGAAAGGAAGTAGAGTAGTCCCTGCAACCCTGCCAAAAAATTTCTTTCGCCCTACGATTGGGTCTAACATAAGCAGAGGAAATCCGAATGTTTTTACCATCCCGCCGCGGAATCAAAGTGTGGATGGTCTGAGAATTGTGTTCGACCACAGGGAGCGGAACACGGTCTTTATTCCAAACTAAGAGTAAACCTCCCGCAAAACCGAGAGGATCAACCATAAAGGAAGAACAAAAGGCAAGCTTATCAGCCATTTTTAGTTAACCATCAGCCGCCTTAGTTTTTGTTTCCAAGAAACAAAGCGCGCCAACATCCGGCATTTTCAGGAGATCCCTAGCATGCCGCCTAGTACCACCACTCCTCACACCCCTGCAATTCCAGGCGATAAAAATCATTGAGCAATAACGGAAGTGGAGGGATCAAGATTACCGCTTTCCTCCGGAGCGCTATTCAAGTCCATAGGTTGGACCATGTCAGGCGAGGGGTGGCCAAAGATGAATGTGCCAGTGCTAGACGAAGCAAGCCTCGATGTCGCAGTGATGGAGCCTCCGCCATGGGTGTTTGCATTATTTGAACCCTTATTACTCCTCTTAGAAGGTCCCTTTTTGCTTCCAGAAGAGCTGACTTTGTCCTGTTTTCCAGAGTCTTTTTCCACGCGTGTTACTCCCTGCATGGCAAAAATATACTTAGATTGGTTTGGAGCTAAGGGGGTCGTATCCTTACCAGACATAACCGCGGGTGCTTTGGTGTTTCCTTGGTCTTTCGATTGCGCCGGCGGGACTGTGTCGCTCGTAAGGGGTTGCTCCGAAACTTCTTGCAACGCTGAAAACATGTTGGAAGATTGATCCAAGCTCTTTCCTTTTCCCTTCTGCGCCATATTAGTCGGCTTAGCTGATGACTTTCCTTTGTCCATTTGTGTGGCCTTTGGAGGAGCTTTCTTGGCTTGCTTCCCCTGATTGGCACATTTGTCTTGGACAATCATCCATTGGCCATACCTCTGCATCTCAGTCGGAGGTTGCGTAGCAGTGGCGACCGGAGTCTGAGTTTGCTGTGCAGTTTGCTCCATAGGGGCATCGGCTTGTTGTTCAAATTGCACTGCAGTCACCGGAATGTTCTTTGGGCAGGCATTAGACCTATGCCCTACTTCACCACACTCGAAGCAAATGGTGTGCAGCCCTTCAAATTCCACCTGCTGAATCATGTCTTCAACGATGATCATGGACACGAGTGGCTTCTTGAGATCGATTTCCACAGCAGCGCGAGTGAACCGTCCCTTTTCTGTTCCAGTGATGGTTTTATCGAGTTTCACCGGAGTTCCCACTTGAGTCAAGATCTGTCGGATTAAATCTTCACGGAACAATTCCAATGGGAGTTTCGGCAACCTTACCCATACCATCATCTTCTCCACTGTGGCCTTCGCAGGTTTGAACCTCGGTGTCCACCGTTGAGGCACCACATAGTGGTTGGTTACCTTGTAGGGGCCGCCGACAAGGACGTTCATGCAATCTCTAGCCCGATCAAACCAGGCGACGTACCAGTTATATCCCAAGTCAATCAGTTGGAACTTCCCCTCAGTATTCCACATCCTGGAGAGGTGATTGAGGAGAAAATTGAACGCAATACGCTTACCAAGGAACTTGAGCGTTAGGGCGTTTCTCCATGGCTGAACGATCTCTTTGCGGAGTTCCTTTGAGAAAGTGACCACCGGGAGGCCCAACGGGTTCGCCGGAGGAACAACTTCTTCATTCAAGACTGCCAACACCTCGTCACTGAGCCAATCACCGTTGTCAGCCTCCATCATCGTATCATCACTGGCTGTTGGAATAGCTGTTACTGCATTGGCGAAGGATCTCTTTGTCGCCCTAAACCGTTTGAAATTCCTCCCTGTGTTGCCATCAGGCGGGGTGCCGGATACCGGCTGAGGATCCGCCGGAGTCTGCATGCGGAAGGAAAGAAGGTAAAAGGTGGATCGCTCCCAGACTTACCAAAAAGAGGTCAACGGTCGAGAGCATTTTTTGGGTTGCTTTTGTTATTAAGTTAGTTCTATTATTAAAATTGTCAGTCTAATAATTTATTGGCTTTAGATTATTATTATTATTATTATTATTATTATTATTATTATTATTATTATTATTATTATTATTATTATTATTTTGGAAATGATTATTATTATTAAATTGTTATGTTATTATTATTTTATTATTATTATTGAATAAGAAAGGAGAGACGCAGAGTGTTAATCGGCCATGGAGGAGCGTAATCCAGAATGAGCATCGGCGTCAACGAGTCCGATTCCTTTGGAGGATCCGGTTGATCAAAAGGGATCTAGGAGGAAGTCGTTGAGCCTGCGGAGTATAAGTAGACGGCGTCTTTGAAGAAGAGGATATCGATCGATCTCTACCCCAAAAATCTTCTCTCGGGGATTGACCTTACGGCTCCTCCGGCGGTGTTGGGAAGCTCCAACTCCGGACCAATTTCGGAGGCGGCGGCCGTGGGCTTCAACAAATTATTTGGGCGGCAGATTCCGGTCGACGGCAAAGCAAAGAATTCTTTAGCAGCCTCAAACTCTTCTCCCGTTAATTTTTGGGACAACAATTTTCTGGTTCAATCTGCTTAGCTTTTCATTACTCTCTTCAATTTGCTTAGTAAAATTGCATTGTTAATTTTTAGGATTGCCAGCATAACTTTTTGGTTTGGCAACAAAGTCTTTCAATTTGTTTAGGCATTTCTCCAGTTCATCAGTATGTAGTGCTGCAACATTGGATTCATCAACAACACAAGTTATTTGAAACTTAATACAGTGGGTTCATGGATGGTACTGTTTATTGTTTGTCTACTTGGGTAATATTTATTCTCTGAATATTGAAGCTTCATAGATATATCAACAGCACAGGTTATTTGAAAATTAATATAGTGAGTTCATCGATGGAACATGGTCCAAAAGAGCTTTTGATAATTGTTTATTTAATTCTTATCTTAGGGTATTGTTGATGTGTAGCAAAAATGAGTCAGGGAGAGTGTACGGGTGTGTTATGTCGTCCTCAAGGGGATTGGGGGTTATGACACGCAATATGCAATCGCAATAAACTAGGCACTAGCATAAGGAAATCAACAAGAAGCTAAGCAAATCATAACGAGATTGAGGCTACGGTAACTAAACAAAGTAACACAAACACATATTAACAAGATGTAAATACGAAATGAAGAAATAGGACTCAAGCTAGGGAGCATTATCATCTAGATGCTTCAACAACCTACGGATTAGGGAGAACAAATAACAAAGAGTCAAGTGGGAAAATGCACGTAGGTATCCTAGTTTACGAACCACTCTCATGATTAACAAACAAGGATTTGCCCCACTTTCGTGGTGAATCAATTCCAAGTCCATCAAGCACACAAAGCATCTAAAGCCCCCAATTTTCCATATTTTCGTAGGAAGAAATCAGGTCTATGCAAGGGGTGACTTGGATTCATCACCCAACTCTCGTTGAGGCAAGGAATCCTCCAAAAACAACCTAATGAATGTGTACATCAAACATTAACAAGATATAAATACAAAACCTTCACAAACACATGAACCCTAGCACTAGTACAAAAAAATCAAAAAATCGATTAATTCGCGTCCAAAGTTAGAACTTTGGACGCCTAAAGTGTAGTGCGGTGGCATTTTTATAATTAAAATGCCACTATATAAATAAATTTTTATTTTTATTTTTTATTAAATATTATTCGCGTCCAAAGCTCAGTACTTTGGACGCGAATAATAGAATCCCATTTATCACTCGCGTCCAAAATGGCTAACTTTGAACGCGAATAATAAAATCCCATTTATCATTGGCGTCCAAAGTGACTAACTTTGGACGCGAATTATTTTTTTAATTCATAAAACCCTAGAATAATAGAATCGCATATTGATCAGATCTCACGCGTAAACCCTTCATCCGCTCCGATCAAGCCGTCCCCGCCGTCCGCCGCTCGAATTCCCCCTCTCTCTCTTCTCTTCGCCCAAATGTCTGAGACAGCGATTGTAACAGAGTTTGCCGGCGCTCTTTGTAGTTCGTATTTCTTTCAAGGAACTACGCAGCCTCTTCGTTTTCACACGCACTCCAGTAGCTGAGACGCTGCCACCTCAGCTCTTCGACAACGTCGCCACCGCCGCTGTCCTCGTCCATCCGTCGCCGGTCCTCCACTTTCTCATTCGTACAGCAGCGCAGCAAGTCGCCAGTCCTCCACCGCGGGCGGTTCTCCTTCATACAAGTTAGTTCTATTGTAATTCCATTTATTCCTAAAATGTTTGGAAAATGCTTTACACATTTATGCTGTGTGAACTCAGTAATGTTAATTGATGAATTTGTGTACTGCTCTGTACATTTCAATTGTTGTGGCACTACTTGTTTTCAATTCGATGCTCACCAACTGTTTGCTAGTAGTTCAGACAGAATGTGCATACAGAAAAAATGGATGATGTTCATTTTGCTTGAAAAAAAACTGGATTCAACTGTTATATTCTTTAGACTTTGCTAAGAAATCTTAAGATAGGATTCAACTTTTTCTCTGGTTTGGGTGTTCTATCTCCTTATATCGTCTGTGGAGTTTGATTCCATTTTGCTAGTAAAAACTTCATTCCTTTTAGTTTAGTCTCATTCAATTTTTTTCTCGTGGTGAAATGCGTCTGAACTTTCTTTGAGAACGTTATATGGTATACATTTTTGTTCTGCCATAGATATCCAGCCAATGTAACTTTTAGTCATTGTTGGTTAAGGTAGTTGTTGCCCTTTCTCATGCTGCAATTTTTGAAGAGTCAACAAAGGCTAGGGATCTTCTTATGAAGAAGAACATTGCCCTTGATCCATGCAAGCACATCCTTGATGTTATAGAGAAAATGAATTCTTCACATATTTGTGTGTACATAACATAAATAGAATGGCGTATTTATATGGATAAAGGTGTAGTTGTGTAGATAGGCTGGCCAATCACCAAAAGACTACTTGGGTTAAGAATTTAGGATTAAGTTCTACTCCATTGGCCTTGATCTATTGGCGTATTTTTTTCTCATTAGAACGGAGAGATTATGTAGTCGTTGGACTTTGATGAGACTAAACCATAACATTTTATTGTATTATGCAAAACCATTGGCGGGGAGTAATTGGAGCTAGCAACCACTGCAGAAGCTCTTAAAATACTTGATTCTTGTGGTTCAGATGTAATTGAGCTAGGAGTTCCTTATTATGATCCACTTGCTAATGGGCCAATTATACAGGTTTACCAATATGCCATAGTATGTGGAACTTAATAAGTTGAATAATGATTATATATAAGCTAAATTTGATTCAGCAATATCTATGCCATAGTCTAAAAATAAATAGTAGTGGTATCTTAACCGTTGTTAGAACTCATTAACGTGCATATTATCCTTTGCTGACATGTTGATTGAAGAAATATATATATGGTGTTAAGTGGCATAGCATGTTCCTCTATTGTCTATCTCAGTCTTTGTTTCTAATCTTCCCACACAGGAAAATTTGGGATGCATTGACCGGTGATGAACTGCACTCATTTGAGCACAAGCACATTATTCGAGCTTGTGTTTTCTCGGAGGTATGTATCTCGGATAACTGTAAGACTGTAGCATAAGGTGCATTCCATAGCTGGTGGATCTGAGTAGAAGGGATCCTTCTGTTTCATGATCATTTATTTACTATATCTTGTCTAATTTGTTTTACCTATCTGGTTCAGGATACTAATTTTCTACTGACTGGTGGAGTTGAGAAAATTCTTCGAATATATGATCTGAACCGTCCAGATGCACCTCCTAGAGAGGTGGCTAAGTCTCCAGGCTCAGTGAGAGCTGTCTCATGGCTCCACAGTGATCAAACAATATTAAGTTCTTGTACTGATATGGGAGGTGTTAGGTATATTATTTTATAAAACACTGACCAGAGATTGTCTGGCCCTTAATTCTTATAAATGACTTGAGTAAATATTTTGTAGCATCTCTAGATCTTTTCCTCTTCATTTTGGTTTAGTTCGAGTGTTAGAAAGCAGTATATTGCTGTCGGAACACATCTTATAGTCAACCCTTTGTTACTTTAGAATGCTCTTCAGAAAAATCTTGATTTAAAATCCCTATTGCAGGTCTTGAAACTTCCCTTAGTCTTACAAGTATAAACTTGGGTTTTGCAGATTATGGGATGTAAGAACTGGCGACATAGTCCGTACACTTGAGACAAAATCACCTGTTACTAGTGCTGAAGTGAGTCAAGATGGTCGATATATAACTACTGCCGATGGGTTCAGTGTTAAGTTTTGGGATGCTAATCAGTAAGTTACACTGTTCCTTGCATTTTGTAGCCTGCATTATATAGGAATTAGGAAATGAGTTCTGTTACCTTGCCACATTGATTAAATTATTATATGTAGTTCCAGTTTTAGTATTGTTTAAGCATGTGAATTACTGTCCTGCCGGAAATTATGGTTCCCCTTGTTGGAACTCCCAAGTATATATATATATATATATATATATATATATATATATATATATAAAACCAAGTTAAGTTATCCCTGCCTGGCCTGGGTTACAGGAATTAAGGCATCAAGTGAGTTTAGTTCGTGGCGTTGCGAGTAATGTATTCTCAAAGATGGGCACCTCGTTGAATTATAAGGTGGGCACAATGATAGAGATCCCAAGAGCAGCTCTTGTGGCTGATGATGAGGTATGTTTAATCTCAATTTGAGCGGTCTTAATTAATTGAGTTGGGAAGTTTAGTGATGAAAAGAGTTGTAAGTGTCAGATAGCAAAAGAGGCAGAGTTTTTCTCGTTTGGGACTAATGATCTCACACAAATGACATTCGTATATAGCAGAGATGACATAGGAAAGTTTCTACCTGTATACTTGTCAAAGGGCATTCTTGAACACGATCCCTTTGAGGTATGTATAGTATAGTATGACTTCAATTCCTAGTTGCACGTACTTTTACCTTGATGATCACAGATCCATTCATCAGGTTCTGGATCAGAAAGGTTTTGGGCAGCTGATCAAGATTGCCACCGAAAGAGGCCGTGCTGCTAGGCCAAGCTTGAAGGTCAGTCACTGTAGGCTGTGCTTCTCACATCTTTTTAATTTGCCCATTCATCAAACTAAAATAATATTTGAACGACACAAGACTAGTTTGAGATTTAATATTTGGGTTTATAGAGTATCAACTATTGTTTTGTGCTTCATATATATCTTTTGCTTTTTTTGTTGCCTGGGGTTTAAATGTTGGTGATATTCTATATTATGCATCTGCTCTTTTTTCTCACTTGGACTGATGGACCATTTCATGAGTAAGCTTCACCTCAAATCCCTGATATTTTAACCTTCTTTATGTGATTTGAGAAGACATTTTAAAAGATCCATCGAGAGTATGATTGCCTCTAAACCATATGCATGGTCTGTTTTATAGTTATTTGGTCTATTCTGATTGTTATGATGGACTGATGGACCATTTCATGTGTAACAAAATATTTGTTGTTTATGTCCAACCTCTTTATATGAAGCCCTGTGTGTTTCCCTCAAACTGAGTGTCATGGTGTTGTGTTCAATTTTGCATAAGAGCTTGTGATGGAGGCCAAGAAGGGAAGAAGATGATGATAAGAAAAGAAAAAGATGGGTGGGAGATTGATTTCTCAGGTGATAAACCGCCTACACCATTGCTAGACACCATCAACTATCAAGTGCATATGAAGAACCTATCTACACTGGTATATATAGTAGTACACACAATTACACAAACCATTCTTCATTAACTTTCATGATGTTTTACTGTTAATTTTATGGGCATTTTGTATTTTAGAAGTGCTCCGAATTGCGTGATCATTTCTTTGTGTTCCTGGTTTTATTTCTTACCTTTTAATTCTTTATGTTTATCGTATTATCATAAACCGACACAATTAAAATGGTATGTTAATTGATTATTTAAAAATCAAGTAAAACTTTAATTCTAAACTTGCATTCAAGACTCACGGCACACTTTCACTTACTTATTATTACAAACTCTTGTTTCAATAATATACTGAAAAAAAAAGATCAATACAATAGAGAAATAGAGTAAACGACTCATTTTAACTTTCCACACAAGCTAACTAGCTAGGTGCAGCAAGTCAAAATAAGTTGTCGGCAGTGCGGCCATCCTTTAGTTTCTTTAAAATGGTCTGTCCGTAGGTAGACCATAGGAAAGCTAAGAAGAGTCGGAATTGAAGAATGATTAATGCAACTAAAGTCACACCGGCACATACCCTCAAAGCAACACGAACCGATAGAACAGTGTTACCAAACACCAGATTAACCGTGGTAATAAACGAGCCCATCATATACATAACGGAAGATAGCAAGGTGTTGATGCCCACGATTAGCTTCCAGGGAAGACTGTGCAGGAAATCTTCTTCGGCATAGCGCGAAATTTGGATGGACAAGAAGAGCAGGAGAGAAGGAACGGCCATAAAGAGAGAGAGACTATTGAAGATATAAAAGCTTCTGAAAGCATTCTTTCTGGAGAAGATGGGGAGGCCCTCATCAATGGAATCTATAATTGTGCCATTACTTGAAGCATCATTATTCACGGTAACAATTGTAGCGTTAAAGCCACCACCATTGTTGAGCCGTGGAACTGTAATAGCAGCGGCAAACGCCACAGTAACAATGAGCGCTGCTACAATGGAGCATGCGGTTGCTGTCTCCTTCATCCATTTCTCTCCTTCCTTTTTCAAGTCCTTATGCTCATCCGTGAACACCATCTTTGGTGATTTCTCATCTTTATTTCTCAGTGATGAGAAATATGGCGGTGCAATCTTTTGCACTTCCTACACAATCAATCAATCAATCAACTTAACTAGGCTAGGCTTATTAAGTAGTCTGGTTTCTTGGTTCGAGAAAAATTTAGGTACTTACCTTAAACCATAGCAGCTCATGCTGCATTTGAATAGCTGCACCAGAAAAAATACTTCGGTTCCAGTTGAGTTTGTGCGAAGATGCCAATTTCCCAGCCGAATGCACAATGGTCGTCTCTTTCATCCACTAAATCATACTTAAGCACATTGGTTCCACAAATAAGGTTATAAACATTTAGGCTGCGGTTCTCTACTGCAATGTGAAGTATATTCCTCCCACTTATGTCTTTGTAATAAGCCGTGGCGGGATATGCTTCCACAATATTTTGAACCACCTCTTCAATGTCCAAGTATGCTGCTTGAATTATTGCTTCTTTCGCGAGTGAAGCAACTTGTGTGCCATTTAGGGTTTTGAGTTTATCGCACAAGCATTTTACAAGCTCCACTGCTTCTTTGTGCTTCAACATTAACTTGTTTTCCTCTACACTCATCTTCGACAATAACACTGAAAAACATATATATGAATATTAATTAAATTAAATGAATGAAAATTAAAATATACTCCGTATATAATAACCAAAAAAATAAGTATATATATATATATATATATACTACTCAGTACTCATCAGTACTCACCATATTGTAAAGTTTGCCCAAAACTTATACTAATTTTGTCGAAGATAGGATAATCGTATTTGACTATGGCCTCCAAAGGAGATGTTTCCTTGTCTAGTGTCCGATGACAAGTCAAAGCAGGGTATTTATCAGCCAACTCCTTTGCCACCACTGAAATTAAAATTAAATATTCATTTTTAATATAGTAAAAATTATTTTTACTATACTGAAAATTCATTTTTAGAACTAAAAAGTCTCAGACAGTAAAAGACTGGGAACAGAGTGACGATGAGCAAATAATTGAAGCAATTAGTAGAATTCGTGCATTGAAGCTATGCTTTGGTTCATCATATCATTTCTCTACGGTATATAATTCTGGATTACATGAAAATTCTGGTGAGCACATTAATATACTTTGCTGTTATTTTGTTTCTGTTTTTGATTTACATATACAATCAATTCTGTTGATACCATACGGAGATAATTAAGAAGATAACACAACACTGATTCCATGCTTTAATTTTCCCTTTCACAATCCATTCATGTGAGAGCTAGGTATGAAGTTCAACTAGTGCAGCTGAATCTGTATGTATTGCACTTTAATTTTTATTTGTTGTACTAGTGTATTAGTTATCAAGAAATCGAGAATCAAGAACATGATATATAGAAGAGTGGAGTTGAGGGAAAGTATAAAAATTCATGTAAAGTGTTTTATATGTTTGGGCCACAAAATCAATATTACAATGCTTTACTTTATCACTGAGTTCTCCTTTAGATACATAAATCTATATCTACCTCAGCTCCATCTTCAATTCTGCTCTTTTCTTCTTTTAATTTTGTTTGTTGTTCAAGCCTCCAAAAAGCTTTGCTAATAAATTTGTATGTGGACCAGACAAAATAAAATTTGTATTATATATATGATGATCATGAGGAGTTTGTTCATTGTTTCTCAAGAATAAGTAATAAAAGTAAAGTAACGAAAGAGACTGGATGGGAAATTTTTCAAAACAAAAAAATAATACTATCCCTAACTTCCTTAGTTATTCTATTTTACTTTTGTGTTTTTGTATGCAAGAAGACAAGCTTCTCATATAATAATCCAATAATGAAATAAAAGATTATATTCCTCTTTGGTTCTTTTCCTTACAGTGAAGCAAACTCAATTAATTCTTCCACAAGATTTTTAATTTTTATATTATATAAGAACTACATTGTCATGACCGGAACCAATCTAACTAAACCTTAATTTATTCTTTTTTCAAAGAGTCAATTCTCCTCTTCTTATCTTACCTACAAGACATGGCAACCCAACCTCTCTCTCCGTCAAGAACAACAATTTCACAACTACAAATGACTCATGTTGAAGAGAAGATTATCACAGAACAAGTTAAGGATACGCATAATCCGAATGGTGGCATAGATGTTGATGCAAATTGTCTTCTCAAGTTTGTGGAGGACATTTTCAATTTCAATGTGGTTTGTCAATATACTTGCATTAAATTATTTTTAAAATTATTTTCTTGACAAATATATAGATTTAGTTACCATTTATATATATGCACCTATAGTGAATGAATTTTTATCATACAATCACCTAAATGCAGCGCATATAATACAACTGCCAGCATAATGTTATTATCAATGTCATCAAGTAAATTTACATCGAATAATCATAGGCCAAAGAGAGATTTCTTAAATTTTCTTACTATTCATGTTTAGAAATAGTCTCATTCTTGTTTTCATCACACTAGCTTTGTGTTAATGGAGTATATATGAGTTTAGGTTCCTCTAGAAGCAATGCAAGACAGGTTACAGTTACAAGAACACATCCAGAAAGAGATTTCATTTGTTGTTTTACAACTCTCTTTTGTGGTATGGTATATATAAATCCTCCATTCATCACACAATTTTATATGAGTACTAATTAAATGATGACCTTTTCTTTTAAATTTCATTCTTATTTTTAGATAGCCTTCACTTGTGTAAGCAATGATGATAGTCACTCAACTGCCATTTATCTACTAAGTTTGTTGTCAAAGTATATGTGGCATGCTAAGGGACTAATGTTACTCGCATGTTTTGCAATCATCCCAGGGAAATCTAAAGTTGCTTCTCAATCATGTCATCGGAAAAGACTATCCTATAACATGGGTGCTCTAAGAAATAGTCTAAACTCAATGCTATCCCCTGACAATGAAGTTTTTTTTAATGACTCAATAAGATCCATGTTTAATCTCTCCAAGCTTATGACTGAGCTTCGACATTCATCGTCAATGTTTTTGGCGAATTACTGGATGGCAAGAAGTGTTGTTGCCTATGCTCACTTCCTTATTTTGGGCCATGAGTAAGACCACTTGATTTAACTTTGTATAAATTAAATTACATATATTCTGGCTTAATCTAATTTTTCAATAATCTTTAAAAATGATTAATTGTAATATTTCGTATAAATATCTATAAATAATTTTTTGAAAGACTCGTTCTTTACAACGTAATATATGTTCTATTATACTTTCTCAATCTTGCAACCACCTATTTAAAATGGTTATAGAAGTATCATCACACTGGTAGTTGACAATATCTATAAATTATTAATACAATATAAAATAGAAAAATATTTCAAAGCATTAATTTATACATTGCACATTAAAACGTGTAAATTGGGTTTAATTAACTATTCGTAAATAAGTATATTGAAGATTTAATACAATCCATATTATTTTCGCCTTCAAAAAGTATATTGAAGATTGATTTATTGAAGTTTGTTTTTAATTAAATAATTAGCCATATACCAGGACTATGTGGTCTAATAGTACCCGGGTTGGACTTCCATTTGGAAGATTATGAGTTCGAGCCTCAGTGGAGGCGTTATTGGTTCTTTGTGTTTCAGCAGGTTGAGAAAGTATATGAACAGATACTACAATGTAATAGGACCAGTAACTTTAAAAAAAAAAAAAAAAAAAAAAATAATTAGCCATATATGCCCTTATTCTTCAGGCCACAAAATCAGAAGATAATGGCGGAACTGTCAAATGTATCCACCAAAATCAAAGAGATTCTGGCTTCCAGCCTCCCACTACTAGGTTGGTTTAATATTTTATTTTAATATTTACTTGCGAAATGTTTATGATTATAATTCATGTATAATTATGAATATCATATAATTTCTGGTGCATATGAAGTTATTATAAAATGACTGTAAAAGTTAAACTTTTTTATGCAATCAAATAATCCTAAATTTTTCTAATTAAAATGATTAATTAAATCCAAAACTACAGTTCTTTTATTAAATAGATTTGACCAAAAATCATAATTTAGCAATGAGATTAATTTTAGTTTTGTGTATGCAGAGGCAAAAAGGGCAGAAGAAAATTATCAAGCATTGTTACATGCTTTTGATAATTCTTTAAATATCTTGGACGTTCTTAAATTGATATTCAATGTCAAAAATAATAAAGAGAAGTCAATTTTTTTTCAAGAGAAAATGAAGCTAATTACGTACCACGATATGGACCATATGGTGCATGTATGTATAAACCTTTGTTTTTACTTTTCTTATCATATAAGTGTGAAACACTACACCTTATCGAATGACCTCTAAATATCTTTTATATTAGACAGACTTTAGACTTTTCTCATTCAATAGGATTAGATGAGTTTGAATGGAACGGAGTGCTATTGCTAATATCATCCGGCGAACACTTCCCCTTTCATGCATATTATGCGGCGGCGGCCACAGGAGTACAGATGATTTGGGTTCCAATTATAAATGATCATATACAATTAACTACTACTGTGTATTGGATTCAAAAAAATGGATTGCACCAGAATTTGTAAGATTTCTTAAAGACAAATGCTTCTCAACTTTTCAAGTTGGAGGTGACCCTATTATCATTTCACTGGACAAACGGGGAAGATTGGTTCATTCTAATGCACTGCACATGACATTTACATGGGGATCTCAATTATTTAATGAAGAGAGAACAATGATATCAAGTGATATAATGCCTTCATTAGAAAATGAGTTGAGGGAAAGTACTTCTGGTGCTGACCGTGTGATTGATGACATTGACAAACAAATACATAATTTCGCTAGAGAGGTCCGCAAAAAGATCAATGTTTGGGTGTACGACATCAAGATGAAGATGAAAAGTTCGGTATGTCTATCTTATAATTAAACTCTTACTCACTTATTATATGTACATGTCTAACTTTATTTATTTAGAAAAAGAATTTCAATAAAAAAATTTATAATTTTAGAATTCAACCATTTTATACAAATACAATAATATTTTATATATTCATCAGTTTCGTTCATACAATTACACGCGTGAGATAGAAGAAGAGCTTTGGCTTAAAGAATCTTGGAATCTTAAGCTTGTAGTAGGAACGACTAGCAACAGGACATTCAAATCCAGACTACACCAGTGGGTAAGTAATGAGTCCTCATTTTCAATTCTAATTAATTAATTAGTGGCAATTAACTACAACCTAAGCTAAGCTAAACTGCATGATATGCCTACAGCCTACTATACACTACAATTCAATTATCTTAGCTTGTACGTCCTCTCATGCTTAAAACAAAATTACTACTCCCTATTCAATAAATATTTTTTATTTTTAAATGAACATTCAATTAAGCATTATTAAAACATTATATTGTTCTGTGTATTTTTCTTTTGAACAGATTGATGATGATGAAAAGTACATTTTGTTATGTGGAGGCAATAACATTAAAAGAGTTCTAGAATTTGTACTTAAAGTAAAAGAAGTTCGTTCCAAATTCCAAATGAATATGAAAATTGCATACGTTGGAAGAAGAAGAAAAATTATTGAAGAGGTGAGTAGAGCATGTGATTATGCATTTACACGTTATGAGTTTAAGTCGTTTTGGGCACGACTTCATAGCGTGGCCTCATCTAGGATCCAATATTTGTGTAACGTTGGAGTACTTGATGAAAGGAGTGATGAAATTCTGCAAGGACTCAGAAAATTATTATCTTATGAAGATGAATGCACAACAATTGGATCATGGGCTTTGTTGGGCAAAGGGAAAAGAATAATTGCATGTGATATGGGAGACAAAATGTTAGGAGTCTTGAATGAGCATGAGAAATGGAAGAACATTGAACATGCCAATGATTTTGAACAAACATTCAAGGATTGCTATGAGATGCTTAATACTTCTTCTTCTTCTTCCAATCAACACTCTTGTTGTGCTCTCAATTACTCATCTAATTTGGATAAAATTCCAGAGATTGTGTCCTGCTTTCAATGTGACCAGAACATGCATAAATTTGTCACTTTCTCCTGTTGTCATGACCTGACTAATTATTTATATTGTTACCAGGATGGAGACTAGAAATAATACTAGAGTTTCTGTTCTACTTGCACTGGCTGTTAGAGCTTTTGTAGTAGTCTACATGCATGTATTATATATGTTTGTACTTGTACGTTCATTGTTGTAATATTATTCATTGAATATACATACAAATTAAACTTTTAGTTTGTTCACGTTTTGAATATAATGTACCAACTAGAATAATAGCATTAGAAGTGTATTAAATCTGTATCATCAGCCTGAGATGAAAAGGAGAATCAGAGCTTCACCCCAATCCTAGATAGGCAAAATTCCGTCATTTGTGATCAGTTCATCAAACCCCTGCCCTCTTGCATTTAAGAATATTGTGGACTATAAAATAGAACATTTGTTTTTAAACCGAAAACTAAAAATAAAATAAATCAAAATGGATAGATAACTTAAATTTATAATATTTCCAGTACATAAAAGGAATAGATATCCATCTTGTATCATCTGAAAGAATGGTGGGTTACCTTCTAGATTTTTCATCCAATTTTTATATGTTGGACGCTATTTTCGACAAAAAATTAGAGTTGAATAGAAATTCCCACGAATCTTTTTTCTGCTCTTGCATTTGGTGGGAAATAATTGATTTTCAACAGGTGCTTCATATCAACTACAAGGCTAATCTGATAGTTGGATTGCACATTAATGGCTACATCATCTACCAAGATTTGACCATAAGAGATAATAATAGCACCAATCATGCATGGGATAAGCATTGAAGAGGGTGTGCAGAATTCACTCAAAAAAAAAAAAAAAAAAGACGCTGATTATATTGGAGGACTATATATATTAAGAAAAGATTAAATGATGAGGATGAAGATGATGGACTCAATGATGGTGAGAGTAAGTCCCCAATATTGGTTTTCTTTATGATGAAATACCATTTGAAAAGCGCTGACAAAACTATCTTATATATTACATGCAAATTCAAGTAACCTTAAATTTTGTTTCCTTTTCCCTATTGACTGTGTAGAGAGGTCAGCTATCTTGGAACAACTTGATTCTCATGGATCACAGGTTATGCAACGTGGTCTGGTGGAAGGACAGGAAGATGTGAGATGCATTCAAATCTAGCCAATTTGATGGATGGACTTTACTTGTTCTTGTTCACTCAGCTACTAATTTTGTCTGACATTCTTTTGCAGAGGCAAAAATCCAAGAAAGAAGTGATGGAAGAAATCATTTTGAAGAGTAAATTCTTCAAGGTTGGGATGGTTGATCACTTTATTATATTTGCACAGGGGGATAGTTTGACTATTTGAGTTTATAATTTGGTTTCAATTTTTTCCTAATAGGCTCAAAAAGCAAAGGATAAAGAAGAAAATGAGCAGTTGGTTGAAGAATTGGACAAAGATTTCACATCCAAAGCATTGGTTTCACTTACACAACCAGACAAGATTAGTGCTCTAAAAGCTCTTGTTAACAAGAGCATTCCAAATGACAAAGAAAAGAAAAGTAAAGAGGCTGAGCCTCAGAGAAAAGATTATTCTTTGCAAATGAAGACGAATCTTCTGATAATGATTCAGAGAGTGATGAGGATGATGATGAAGATGGAAAATCTCAGACTGTAAAAGACTGGGAACAGAGTGATGATGAGAATGTTGGCACCGATTTAGAGAATTTTGGTGAGGGTGTAATCAAAGAGTCAAAGGTTGAGAGGAAGGAAAAAGATAAAATAGATACTGAAAAATCTCAATCACCTTCGAAGCAGCATTCAGCTCAACAATTACAAGGAGATTGCGAGGTAGTTCTCATTTTAAATTGTTGTGTGATTTGAATATTCTCTTTGTCAACAAATCACTCAAGTAGTTAATATGATTTACTTTATTAATTATATTTTTAAAATTTTTTCATGGTATTAATAAAATACTTGGTAAATAAATATATAGCATTATTTTGTATTATAACTTTGATATTTAATTAAAAAATAGTGCACAAAAAAGACAATAGACAATGTAGTGAATATAATCAATTGATGAATTTGAATGTATAGAATTTTTTACATTGGAGAAATATAAAGACAATATAACGTAACTAATAAAATTATTTCTCTTAATTAATTTATTGATAATGTGAATAGTTTTTTTTAATAAAGGCATTGTAGGGACAATGTAGCAAATATAATTAATTGATGAATTTGAATGTAAAGAATTTTTATATTGGAGAAAAATAAATACAATATAACTAATGGAATTATTTCTCTTATTTAATTTATTGATAATAATAATTTGTTTTGAATAAAGACATTGTAGACACATAATTCTAAATTAAAGAAATGCATATGTATTATTTTTTGTTATAGCTACTAAATTATTATTTTTATATAATTTAATAAGAGTAAAATAAAGTACTAATTATGCCAACTTTGATTGGGATGAGGTTCAAACCTAAGACCTTTCTTATCGAAATCAATGAGTAAGTTAACGGTGAACTAACAGAAATTAATGGAAAAGTTAACGGAAAATCATATTCATTAAGGATAAATTAGGAAATTTTAAGATAAAAAATTAAATCTGATCAATCTGAGCCATTCATTTGATTAAAAAACATGACCGCCATTTTTTCTACCCATTATAGGCCTAACTCTCTTGGGCTCTTATTAGTATAGTAGATATATATATATATATATATATATATATATATATATATATATATATATATATAGAAGAGTGGAGTTGAGGGAAAGTATAAAAATTCATGTAAAGTGTTTGCATGTTTGGGCCACAAAATCAATATTACAATGCTTTACTTCATCACTGAATTCTCCTTTAGATACATAAATCTATATCTACCTCAGCTCCATCTTCAATTCTGCTCTTCTTTTAATTTTGTTTGTTGTTCAAGCCTCCAAAAAGCTTTGCTAATAAATTTGTATGTGGACCAGACAAAATAAAATTTGTATTATATATATGATGATCATGAGGAGTTTGTTCATTGTTTCTCAAGAATAAGTAATAAAAGTAAAGTAACGAAAGAGACTGGATGGGAAATTTTTCAAAACAAAAAAATAATACTATCCCTAACTTCCTTAGTTATTCTATTTTACCTTTGTGTTTTTGTAAGCAAGAAGACAAGCTTCTCATATAATCACTACTGGAAATTGTGAAATTTCTGACCACCTGAAAGTGATCTTAAACCAAGTCAAAAGTCTTGTTCCGACCACTTTTGGTATCCGGAAAAACCTTTGTTGCTATTTCCGACCACTTTTTGGTATCAACTTAATTTAAGATCACTTTCAGATGGTCGGAAATTGTATAATTTCCACTAGTGAATAATCCAATAATGAAATAAAAGATTATATTCCTCTTTGGTTCTTTTCCTTACAGTGAAGCAAATTCAATTAATTCTTTCACAAGATTTGTAATCTCTATATATTATATATAAGACCTACAAACGTTGTCATGTCTAGAACCAATCCAAGTAAACCTTGATTATTCTTTTTTCAAAGAGCCAATTCCCCTCTTCTTATGTTACCTACAAGACATGACAACCCAACCTCTCTCTCCGTCAAGAACAACAATTTCACAACTACAAATGACTCATGTTGAAGAGAAGATCATCATAGAACAAGTTAAGGATACGCATAATCCGAATGGTGGCATAGATGTTGATGCAAATTGTCTTCTTAAGTTTGTGGAGGACATTTTCAATTTCAATGCGGTTTGTCAATATTACTTACATTAAACAATTTTTAAAATTATTTTATTTACAATTATATAGATTTAGTTACCATTGTATATATATGCACCTATAGTGAATGATTTTTATCATACAATTATATATATCTAAATAATCATAGACCAATGAGAGATTTCTTAAATGTTCTTACTATTCCTGCTTAGAAATACTTCCATTTTTGTTTTCATCACACTAGCTTTGTGTTAATGGAGTATGAGTTTAGGTTAATCGAGAAGCAATGCAAGACAAGTTACAGTTGCAAGAGCACATCCAGAAGGAGATTTCATTTATTGTTTTGCAACTCTCTTTCGTGGTATGGTATATATAAATCCTCCATTCATCACACAATTTTATATGAGTTCAAATGATGACTTCTTTTTGTTAAATTTCATTATCATTTTTAGATAGACTTCACTTGTGTAAGCTATGATGATAGTCACTCAATTGCCATTTATCTACTAAGTTTGTTGTCAAAGTATATGTGGCATGCTAAGGGAGTAATGTTACTCGCATGTTTTGCGATCATCCGAGGAAAATTTAAAGTTGCCTCACAATCATGCCATCAGAAAGGATTATCCTATAACATGACTGCTCTACGAAAGAGTGTAAACTCAATGCTATCTATTGAGAATGAAATTATTTTGAATGACTCAATAAAGTCCATGTTTGATCTCACCAAGCTCATGGTTGAGCTTCGACATTCATCATCAATGTTTTTGGCGAACTACTGGATCGCAAGAAGTATTGTTGCTTACGCTCACCTCCTTATTTTGGGCCTCAAGTAAGACCACTTGATTTAACTTTGTATAAATTAAATTAAATATATTCTGCCTTAATCTATTTTTTCAACAATCATTATAAATAATTAGTTGTAATATCTCATATAAATAATATTTACAAATCATTAATACAATTTAACGTGTAAATTGGGTTTAATTAACTTTTTGTAAATAAGTATAGTGAAGATTGATTTATTGATGTTTGCTTTTAATTAATTAATTAGCCTTGCTCTTATTCTTCAGGCCACAAAATCAGATCATGAGCGAAGTGTCCAATGTATCCACCAAAATCAAAGAGATTCTGGATTCCAGCCTCCCACTACTAGGTTGGCTTAATATTTCATTTTAATATTTAGTTACGAAATGAAATGTTTATGATTATAATAATTCATGTATAATTATGAATATCATATAATTTCTAGTGCATATGAAGTTATTATAAATTGACTGTAAAAGTTAAACTTTGTTATGCAAACAAATAATCCTTAATTTTTCTAATTAAAATGATTAATTAAATCCAAAATTACAGTACTTTGATTAAATAGATTTTACCAAAAATCTTAATTTAGCAATGAGATTAATTATAGTTTTGGGTATGCAGAGGCAAAAAGGACTGAACAAAATTATCAAGCATTGTTACATGCGTTTGATAATTCTTCAAATATCTTGGACATTCTTAAATTGATATTCAATGTCAAAAATAGTAATGAAAAGCCAATTTTGAACAAAAGTATTATCACGGTATGTGTAAGCATTTGTTCTTACTTTTTTTTTTTTTGTCATATATGTGTATGTGTGGTGAAATACTATATTTATCGAATTTGATGACGTCCAAATATCTTTTATATTAGAGATGGTCATATTCAACGGGATTAGATGAGTTTGAAGGGGAGGGAGTGCTACTACTAATATCATCCGGCAAACAGTTCCCCTATTATGCATATAATGAGCCCAGAGGAGTAAAGATAATTTGGGTTCCAATTATAAATGATCTGAATGAGCAAGTACAAAGGCATCATGTTTTGTGCCACTATTTTTGTGTATTGAATACACAAAAATGGATTGCACCAGAATTTATAAGATTTCTTAAAGACAAGTGCTCTTCAACTTTTCAAGTTGGGGGAGACCCTATTATCATTTCATTGGATAAACGGGGAAGATTGGTTCATTCTAATGCACTTCACATGAGATTCGTATGGGGAGATCAACTTTCTGAATTGAGAACAATGAGATCAGGTGGTACAATCCTTTCATTAGAAAATGAGTTGAGGGAAAGGACTTCTGGTGCTGACCGTGTGATTGGTGACATTGACAACCAAATTCATAATTTTGCGAGAGAGGTCCGCAAAATGATCAAAGATTGGATTGACGACATCGAGATCAAGATGAAAAGTTCGGTATGTCTATATTATAATTAAACTCTTACTTATTAAATGTATATGTCTATCTTTATTTATTTATAAAAAAAATCAATAAAAAATTTATAATTTTAGAATTTAACCATTTTATACAAATACAATAATATTTTATATATTCATCAGTTTCGTTCATTCAACTACACGCGTGAGAGGGAACAAGAGCTTTGGCTTAAAGAATCTTGGAATCTTAAGCTTGTAGTAGGAACGACTCGCAAATGGGATTTCCAAAAGAGGCTAAACTCGTGGGTAAGTAATAAGTCCTCATTTTCAATTCTAATTAATTAGTGGCAATTAACTACAAGCTAAGCTAAGCTAAACTATACACTTCAATTCAATTATCTTAGCCTGTACGTCCTCTCATGCTTAAAACAAAATTACTACCTACTCAGTATTCAATATTTATTTTTTCTTAATTTTAAATAAGCGATTCAATTAAGCATTAATAAAACATTATATATGTATTTTTCTTTTGAACAGATTGATGATGATGATGAAAAGTACATTTTCTTGTGCGGAGGCAATAACATTAAACGAGTTCTAGAATTTGTACTTAAGGTACAAGAAATTCGTTCCAAATTCCAAATAAATATGAACATTGCATACGTTGGAAGAAGAGGAAGAAAAATGGTTAAAGAGGTGAGTAGAGCATGTGATTATGAATTTGAACCTTATGATATTAAGTGGTTTTGGACACGACTTCATAGTGTGACCTCATCTAGGATCCAATATTTGAGTAAGGCTGGAATTGATGAAAGAAGTGACGAAATTTTGCAAAGACTTAGAAAATTATTATCTTATGGAGATGAATGTACAACAATTGGATCATGGGCCTTGTTGGGCAAAGGGAAAAGAATAATTGGATGTGATATGGGAGACAAAATGTTACAAGTCTTGAATGAGTATGAGAAATGGGAGAACAATGCACATGCCGATGATTTTGAACAAGCATTCAAGGATTGCTATGAGATGCTTAATACTTCTTCTTCTTCTTCTTCTTCTTCTTCTTCTTCTTCTTCCAATCAACACTCTTGTTGTGCTCTCAATCACTCATCTAATGTGGATAAAATTCTAGAGGCTGTGCCCTGCCCTCAATGTGACCACAACATGCATAAATTTGTCACTTTCTCCTGCTGTCATGGGCTGACCAATTATTTTTATTATCTACAAGATGAAGACTACAAGAAATAATACTAGAGTTTATGTTCCACTTGCACTGGCTGTTAGAGTTGTTGTGGTGCATGGTCTTCATCATGCATGTATTATGTTTGTACTTGTACTTTCTTAGTTGAATATACATACAAATTAAACCTTTAATAATTTGTTTACGTTCTCAATACCCCCCCCCCCCCCCCTCCTCCCCCTTATCAATTTGTCCCTCTTTTCTTGTTTTCCTTTATGATGCAAGAATTAAATGAAAGAAACTTCGAAGTAGAGAGGTGCTATATGAATATATGATAGAGGCATATTATACACTAGTAGGATAGAATTTCTATTTTTTATTTTTAATATTAATTTAATTAATTGTAATCTCCCAATTCAATTATGTTTTAAAAAAGGTTTTCCGTTTTTCTTGTTTAAAATTTTCCATTTTTCGTTTGCTGTGAAAGTCAGCAAATGGTTGGTACCTTTAGTTCATGCAGTTTGTCTTGTTTTACTTTATTTATAGAATACAATATGATTCAACAACTTTAATTTCCATGCACGTTTCCTCTTTTAAACTTTTATTATATTTGATTTTCATAAATGTAATAGTATTGTCTTTTGAAGCGAATTAAAATGTTAATACACTTTTAATATATAAAAAATGTATATTGTATTCATAGAATGAAAATACATTATTTGAAAACTGAAAGTATATTATTTTGTATACTATTCAAAGTATAGGGTGAATGGCCCCATCTGTGTGAACTATTGAAGAATTTTAGGTCAAACCTTGTAAAAATTTTCATTTTACAAACTAAACATGATGTTAATCTATAAAGTGGTTCCTCCGATCGTGTTGATACCAGACGGAGAATTGAAGATATCACTCATTCCATCTTCTTTTCCCTTTCACAATCTATGTATGAAGTTCAACTAGCTAGCTAGCTTAACTAGTTTTGTACGCACATTGCACGATTGGGATAATGCTCAATATTGTTTTTTTTTTTTTAAATAAGTACTTTAAAGTATATCAAGGCAATATTATATTGGAATTGTTCATGCATAGATAATTGAATGTTAAATTTGCGTATTTAAATAGGCAATTCTAAGTTTACAAATGTAAGATAATATAGTCAAGATTGATTATAATATTATCAATAAAATAATTGTATAGGTATGGTTGAAACCAAATACGGGACATAAGGGAGAGCAAATAAAAATTAGGGCTTAAAATATTAAATATATACTGATATTGAAGAGCTAACGGCTGATTGCCAAACAAGGACATTGCGAGATAATTTCCTACTTCAATTTGTTGTGTGATTTGAATATTCTTTTTGTCACCCCAAGTAGTTAATATGATTGGCTTAATTATATTTTTTTATTTTTTAAAAAACAATTATTATTATTATTATTATTATTATTATTATTATTATTATTATTATTATTATTATTATTATTATTATTATTATTATTATTATTATTATTATTATTATTATTATTATTATTATTATTATTATACCCTTAAATCATTTTACATGTTAATCTAAACAGCTAATTTTTTCAAATATCTTTTTACCAACCGTTGATATAATTCGCTGGTCAAATTTGCTAATATAATCCGCTAACTGCTGATTGTCAAACAAGGACATTGCGAGGTAGTTCTTACTTCAATTTGTTGTGTGATTTGAATACTCTCTTTGTCAACAAATTCCTCAAGTAGTTAATATGATTGGTTTTATTAATTATATTTTTTAATTTTTTCATGGTATTAATAAAATACTTGGTAAATAAATATATAGCATTATATTGTATTATAACTTTGATATTTAATTAAAAAATAGTGCACAAAAAAGATAATAGACAATGTAGTGAATATAATCAATTGATGAATTTGAATGTAAAGAATTTTTTACATTGGAGAAATATAAAGACAATATAACTAATAAAATTATTTCTCTTAATTAATTTGTTGATAATGAATAATTTTTTTTTAATAAAGACATTGTAGAGACAATGTATCAAATATAATCAATTGATGAATTTGAATGTAAAGAATTTTTATATTGGAGAAAAATAAATACTATATAACTAATGAAATTATTTCTCTTATTTAATTTATTGATAATGAATAATTTTTTTTTTTTTTGAATAAAGATATTGTAGACACATAATTCTAAATTAAAGAAATGCATATGTATTATTTTTTGTTGTAGCTACTAAATTATTATTTAATTTAATGAGAGTAAAATAGAGTACTAATTATGTCAATTTTGATTGGGATGAGGTTCGAACATAAGACCTTTCTTATTGAAATCAATGAGTAAGTTAACGGTGAACTAACAGAAATTAACGGAAAAGATAATATTTAACGGAAAAGTTAACGGATAATCATATTCATTAAGGATAAATTAGAAAATCTTAAAGAAAAATTAAAATCTGATCAATCTGAGCCATTCATTTGATTAAAAAATTTGACCGCCATTTTTTCTACCCATTATAGGCCTAACTATCTTGGACTCTTATTAGTATAGTAGATATATACTACTCAGTACTCATCAGTACTCACCATATTGTAAAGTTTGCCCAAAACTTATACTAGTTTTGTCGAAGATAGGATAATCGTATTTGACTATGGCCTCCAAAGGAGATGTTTCCTTGTCTAGTGTCCGATGACAAGTCAAAGCAGGGTATTTATCAGCCAACTCCTTTGCCACCACTGAAATTAAAATTAAATATTCATTTTTAATATAGTAAAAATTCATTTTTACTATACTGAAAATTCATTTTTAGAACTAAAAAGTCTCAGACGGTAAAAGACTGGGAACAGAGTGACGATGAGCAAATAATTGAAGCAATTAGTAGAATTCGTACATTGAAGCTATGCTTTGGTTCATCATATCATTTCTCTACGGTATATAATTCTGGATTACATGAAAATTCTGGTGGTCAGGTGCATTTGAAGCTTCCCGTGGGGTTGTGCGGATGAACGCACATTAAACATTAATCTAACGCACTTAAAGTACACAACACACGCGCATTAAGCACACAAACAAAACAATTTCAGAACACAACCTCACGCATGTTAAGCACAAGCCTCACGCATGTTAACTACAAGTCTCACGCATGTTAAGCACAAGCCTCACGCATGTTAATCACAAAAACACACGCACCTTAAGATTTAAAAACAACTCACATTAAGTACACACTCACGCACATTAAGTACAAAACTCACGCATCTTAAGCACACGACTCGCGCACATTAAGCACAAGACTCACGCACATTAAGCATAAAACTCATACACTTTAAAGTTTCAACAACATCTCACATTAAGTACGCACATTTAAGCACAAAACTCACCCACATTACGCACAAGACTCACGCACATTAAACATTACACACTCACGCACATTAAGCACAAATCTCACGCACATTAAGCACAAGACTCACGCACATAACCACAAGACTCACGCACATTAAGTACAAAACTCGCGCACATTAATCACCCGTACAACCGCACGGGAAACACTTAAATGCACCTAAACATGAACCCCTCTCTCTCTCTCTCTCTCTCTCTCTCTCTCTATATATATATATATATATATATATATATATATATATATATATATATATATATATATATATATATATATATATATATGCTTAAATGCGGTTGCACCTTCTCGTGCGGCTGTGCTACCGCTTGAAAAATGCACCAATAGTGTTAATAATATACATTAAAAAATATACAGTAATAAAATGTAAAAATACACAACACACCCAAAAAAATGCACCATATAACTCATCACCGTACCCTTAATGGTACATTTCCAAAAATTATGTGGTGCTTTTATTCATACCTAACGGTAAATCTGTTGGTCCCGATAGATTGTGTGGTGAGTCTAGAGGGGGGGGGGGGGGGGGTGAATAGACTCTCGTTTTTCTTTAGTTTTTAAAAAAAAAAAAAAAAAAAAAAACTCTGACAACACTTTTGAGTAAGATAAGCACAGCGGAAAGATTATAAAGTGAGGGTTGCACGAGTTTGATAGAAAGTTAAGAGGAGTGATGAAAAAGATGATATGCAAGCAGTAAAATAAAGTAGTAAGTAGAGAGAAGAGTGAGACGAGATTTTATAGTGGTTCGGCCAAATGTTGCCTACTTCCACTCTTCTTCCACAACTGCTGGAAGGATTGCACTATCACTCTTTAGTACAATTACACAAAGACTTCCTTGATCACTAAGCCGGACAGCCTTTGAAGGTTTTTCAACTCCGAGAGTTTACTCCGCCTCTATCAACTTCTTCTTCTAAGTTGAGGTTGGTAAGAAAGCATTTCTTGATTCCTCCAACTGTGAAGTCTTGATGGTGTGGGATGATTGCTTCAAGAGTGCAAGACTTCTTTCAAGATGTAGGGCAGTGATGGATGATCTACTTCAAATGCCTTAACACCTTAATTAACTGGTTCGCAAAAAGTTTTGAGATTGTTAACTTTTCAAGGACTTTTTGCAAGAGAGTGAGTAGAGTGATAATGAACCAGCACCTTCTTAGTTGATGAAGGTTGGTTTATATAGGTGATGAAAATTCATCCGTTGGAGGGAGATGAATTTTTTGAACCTTTTATCCGATGGACAAGGACCATGGAGCATCATGCATTTAATGCTCCATTAATGGGTTTGTACTAAGTAGTCGTTGAAGGTATGGAGGACTTGATGGCTTTTGTCTTTTAGCTCCAGAGATAGTACAGCTTCATTAAATGCTCTTTGGAGAGCGTGTCCCATGAGTTGAGGTCCTTATTGTCCTAGGATGTTGTCAAATCAGACAGATAGAACATTCTTCTTGCTGATGAGAAGAAGAATACTTGTTGGAATAGTCTTGAAGAGAACTGTCTTCTTAATGACAACTCCTTCTTTCGTTGCTGTGGAGTCTTCTTTCGTCTTGATCAGCTTATCTTCTATTCATAACTCTTTTCGTGTGTTTGTTCTAGCTTAACACGAATTACATATGAGTTATGGCAACTTTCGTCTAGAACGAAAGTAGCAATTCAGGAGAAACGTAAGAGTTAGGGGTCTACTTTCTACATTACATTGGTATCATCAAAATCCTAATACA